TTAACACCATAGCTGCAGACCAACACAGAGCATGAGGCTGGATCTTGTGTGAACTGCTTGATGAGTACAGAATGCTCATGAACACTGAGTCCTGCATGAAAAACCCTTGCATCAAAGTTGGCCTCCACAAGGGTGGCAGCAACATACACCTGTTCAGCTGGAAACTGTGTCCACACAATTGCTTTCTCCCCATGTATAATCACCTGGTCACAAAGGATGGGTAGCATGGCTTGCATCTTCGGGCTTCCATGCAGCAGGAACTCCAGGCACCAGGTCTGTCATTGATTGGTGAGAGATGAGGCATGTTTAAAAAAGTGCGCCATAGCCATTTTGTTCACCACTGCCATTTCTTTGATGGCGCTGGCCATGAACAGGGCAACCTGATGAGTCTTGAGCTTAGCAATGGTGACAGGGATACTTTGCGCCTCCAGGGAAGATTCAACATAGTGCATGCCAAGCCATGAACTCAAGAGCATCAACATCCGGAGCTTCTGCATATTATAAATGAACTTATTCCAGTCCACTGGCGAACGTGTGAAGAGACCCTTGTGTAGGTTTGAAGCAAGATCACTGAACATCTCATCCTCAGGCTTGAAGAATTTCACATTTATCACCTTGTGTTCAATTGGAGGGATATCAGCACCAATCGGTGTCAGTGAGTCAAATGGAATTCAAGAGGTGAGGTTACGCCTGATCATCAGATGCTTCAATACCAGATGAAAATGATCCCCTGATACATTCAGTGCCACTTCCTGATTCAGTACATATTTCTCAATGGCTTCAACGCTACAGCGCAGCTTCGCCCTGGGATGGTCCTCAGGCAGTTCAAAAACATTCTGTTCTGTTGATACGCCGAGCGTGGTCCAATCAGTATGGGTCCAAATAGACGGCGTTGTAAACAGCAGGGGCATATAGCCATGCATGTCATCACAGGAATTGTACAACAGGGTGGCTGAGAGCAGGAGGTGAAATGATGCAGCTAACCAATACACAGCTCATGTTTGAGAGGACGTCAGGTTGCGGAGGCTATGCGCTTCATCCAGGATGACATCATGGAAGCATTCCTGTATATTGAAAGGGAAATCAGAGGGAGGGCGCGCCGCGTTATCATAGTACCTCTGGTTAGCCTCCTGGCACCAGGACTTGACCGCAGCCGGCCCATGG